TTTCTTTTATTATAGATAACAAGAATAAACTGTTTCACGTAATCACAACTGTAAACCTATTTTTGCCCCACACTGTATACATCTAAGTTAAAATAAGGGTAGGGCTGTCTTATCTTTGATCATTGAAATGCAGTTGTGCAAAATCATAGGGGTTTGGTATCAGCAGCAGCTGTTATTAATGGCAGTTTAATAATTATTGTCTAGATTTCATAATTGAGACTGAGCTCTATTGCTTAGTAGTAACTTACTTGAGGTCACACAGGCGGTAAATGGCCATCTTACTTCAAAGCATGTTTCTTGACTACCATGTTTACTCAGTCAATGAACAAACCAGAGGGCAGATTATATTACTGTAGGTAAAATATAGTCGGACCCTTCAACAATGCAAGGGTTAGAGGCACTGATCACCTGTAGTCAAAAATCCATGCTTAATTTAAATTGACTCTCTGTATATGCAGGTTCCAATGCGTTTAACTGGGAGGGTCAGTTGAACTGTACAGGCTAATTGAAAAAAATCTGCTTATAAGTGGACCTACCCAGTTCAAACCCACGTTAAGAGTCACATGTAATTTGGCTATTGATTTCTGTCCTCCTCCTTGACTGAATTGGATGAGGTAAATATCTTTGAGGGATAAGACTATCAATTTATACCATGGTTATTACATGATAATTTTAAGGTAGTGGGGATTTACTTAAAATTGTATATTAGGGTTAAAATAACTTGTGATTTAGTCCTAGTTAAATTAGCTCAGATATCTAGCCTCTCCTTTCTAGCTCTAACAAAATAGGTGAAATATGAGACACATGACAACAGTATTTTGGAAATGGCACTATATTTGAAACTAGAAAAGCATTTAAATACAGTTTAAACAAAAGTGTTTTGTTCTATTATTAGGAAAAAGTTACATGTTGTTTTTGGGCACATATTCTGCACCACATAGCTATGTGGTATTTGTGCTTTATTAGTATGTTTTCAGTTTGGATACGTTCTTTTCCTTTAACCTCTGACTCTTTAAAAAAATAGTTTTCCTGATAGCAATAAAGGTACAAAAAAGTACTTTTCAAAATTTTTAGCATAAATTTCAGTTCTCTCCTTTGGCCATGCTCTCAAATAGATGATTTTCATGATTTAAAGGTATACCTTCTTAGTATATCCCCCAGAGGACCTTATATTTTCAAGAAATTTGCAAATCTTGAAATATAAACTATGAGTATTGGAATGCCCATCATTTATTGAGTTTAATATGTGATAGCTAATGTCTTGAGCTCTATAAGCATTCGCTCATTCAATTTATGCAACAATCAAGGTATAGATACTATTACCATCCCATTTTTTAGGGGAAGAAATTCAGACTTTGTATTGTCTGACATCAGTCATTGACAGCGCTCGAGTTCACATAGTCTTTTCTTTCTCTAATCTACAATTCTTAGCTACCGTGCTTTTTTTTACCTCTTATGGAAATATCTTCAATAGGTTTCTTAGTTCTTTCCTTAACAGCAGCTTAGCCCCTGAGTTAAGGAGCTAGAGTGACCAGAAAGCAGTTTGCTGAGGAGCTTGAGTGCATGGACCTAACCTAGCCTCCTAATGTCAGAGGCAGTAATGGAAAGATCTAGACTGTGTTTCCGCTAACACATTGAAAGCACCCAAACAGGTAGCTTTTTAACTAAGATACTACATGACCTTCTAAGGTAGTTAGGGTAGTTTGCAGTAACTAATACTTAACAGGTGTGACTGGAAGATGATACTGATTGAGTAGTCATTTACTAACCATTTATAACACTTAAGGCTTTTACAGCTTCATTTAAATCCGTTATAGAATTAAAACAGTATATTTTATCCTAACAGTTTTATTTAACTTCTAATTTATTTGCTATTTAAGTTTTTTAGGAACTTAACTGTAAACACATGTCAATCACAAAGGCGATTAAGTGGTTACATAAGTAATGCTTCTACTGGATGGGCTTATAACCTGCAAAATATTCAGAAGAAAAGGAGCAAGATTGAGAGACTGTAGGCCAGCAGTTCTCAACCTGTGGGTCGCGACCTCTTTGGCGGTCGAACGACCCTTTCACAGGGGTCGCCTAAGACCATCCTGCATATCAGATATTTACATGACGATTCATAACAGTAGCTACATTACAGTTAGGAAGTAGCAACAAAAATAATTTTATGGTTCAGTCACAACATGAGGAACTGTATTTAAAGGGTCGCGGCATTAGGGAGGTTGAGAACAACTGCGCTAGAGACTTGGTCTGAACTGGGCAGATGGCAGGCTGAGATCTGGGGCCCTTGGTGATGAAGATAATAACCGTACACAGTATGAACACAAT